ATTTAATAGAATAATAAAATAAACATATAATTAAATCAAAACAAGACCATAGACAAAATAATTCTAGTCGAACGCGCATTACACAGTCAGTAAAGCGCAAAGATATTTTGCATATGCAGCAGAGCACACACACACACGCACACACAATAGAGATAGAAAATGTAAACACACACACACACACCCAGTTGGAGTCGTTATGCTATCAACAGCAGACAAACAACAAACATGCGCCAAACAATAATGGCGCTATTGTTGACCATTTCCGCTTCCGGTTTATGGGCTGAAAGTGCTAATAAGGCTGAAAGCGCAGCTGGAGATGCAGCTGCAGCTGGAGCTAGAATTGGAGTTGGAGTGGAAAATGGCATTTTATCTGCAGCTACTTTAATGTCAGCGCGCCGTGCATATCCTTCAGCACCTTTGCATAACTGATGTTGATGCTGCTGCTGCTGCTGTTGCTGCTGCTGTTGCTGCTGCTGTTGCAATCGAGCAATTGTCGCTGCCTGGGCTAAGCTCCAAAATTAAATCTTTAGCTGCGTTTGGCTGCAGGGGAAGTGGCCGCAAATGCGCCAGCTGTCGAGCTGCTGTTGCATACTTATGGGCGCTGTCGGGCTGTGGACGGTGGGTGGTGGGTGGTGGGCGGTGGTTGGTTGGATGGTGACTTCCTTCAGCTGTAAACTTGATATGCAACAAAAAGGCAACTAGCCACCGTCGACTGCTGCTGGCTGGCTGTCACAGCAACGGAAACAAGCAACTGCTCTCTCTCACTCTCTCTCTCTCTATCTCTCTCTTTTGCCATCTTTATCACCATTGCGGTTTGCTTGCCATCTATCTCAGCCGTAAGGCGCCGCCTGCGGTGCCCGGTGCGGCTGCTCATCTGTGTGCGCGCAAATTAAATGATATTTTATCAACAAAATTAAAATGCGCTGTGTTTTATGCTCGCAGCTCTTAGCACTGCGCCTGCCAGATGCTCCTCCAGCTATTCGCCTGTCTGTCTCTCTGTCTGTGTCGCCCTCTTTGCATATGCAGCACATGGCCTCGAGTTGTTTTGTTTTTAACACACTTCGTGAGCTGCTTTTAGCTCTTAGTATGCTATATTCCATACCCTCTATATATGTATATAGAGCCATAGGCGAAACTAGTTTGCAGCGAACAAACAAGGATGTACACAATATTCCAAATTGGTTTATATAAGAAAGAGCGAAGAGAGATATCAATTTTCAACTGAAAAAAATATATATGAATATTGTTTATGTTTGTCATTGCTCTATAGTGTACATATTATCATCGTCTTTGACTATAAATATATAACGTTTATCATAAATTTTTTGAGCAGAACAAGCTAAAGGCACAGCAGGTTAAGCAGACATTGCAAATTACCAAATAAAATAAATATACACAATAGTCTAGACTGGAGTATACAAAAAAAATATATATAAAAATATGTTCTTGTAAAATATT